CGGCGGCCGGGGGCCCCCGGCCCCCCCCGCCGTATCGCCGCGACGCCAGCTCCGCCCTCCCTGAACTACACAATTTTTTGAATAGTGTGAAACAGTTCACTACTAAAAATATACATATAAACATGCTCTTTATCCTTATTTTAGTCATCAACTGACATAACATTAGATAATGAACACATAAAACCATCCAAATATGAAATATCTAGCCAATAAGCTGTGGGGGGAAAAAACCCCTAATCATTACTAATTGTGTGACATAAATGTGAATATATAAAAACTATGAAAAATAGCTATAACTCAGAATGATGAATGCAAAGCTATATAATTAGCATGTCACTAAAATCTTAATGTAACGTTTTAATAAATATTAATATTAAAACTATGTAAACCATAAAGTAGTGTAATATAAAGTAGTGTGGTATAATGTTAGTGTATAAAAACAATGGTGATAACAACGATAAGGTTAAACAACTAGAAATAAATCAACATTAATACAAACGTAGGGGCATGGTCTTAATCTAACATAATACTTATGAATAAATGAATGATTTATTTTATTGTGGACATGGACCATAACATAGCCAAATAATCATAAAGTACAATCCCTAACCATCTGTGGAGGAGTTGCAACATGATGTGATAGAAATTTGTAACATTTACGGAAGTAAAATTATCTTCCTGTTCTGGTAAATAGTGCAAATCAAATATATCAGAACATTTCAAATTCAGGTAAGAGAGGATTGATCAACATTCTAAAGATGGCCCTATACAATTTGTAATAAAGAAGAACAGGGTCATGCTTTCTATGGCGTGAACACCACAAAACACCACCGTGCTGCTAAGGGGACTTTTCTCTATTTCCACTCCAAACGTACTATAAAAAGGCAAATACAGTTTTCCCATAAATTTGGATTATGGATATACCTTTGTGTGGGAGAATGTGTGCGTGTGTGTGTGTATGGGCAAGGTGTGTATTAGTAAACTGCATAGAAAAAATATGCAAGAAATTTGCTCAAAGAAATGATGGGGAGGGGGCACATTTTAATTCAGAGTTTTAGAAATGGTAAGCAGATGCAGAAATAGAATAGAATGAAGTTAAGACTGGAAAAAAATGAGTAATGGAATGAAACTGAGCTTGACAAACCCTCTAAGGTCTTAATAACAATGTTGAACAGCAGAAGGCCCAGGACAGAACTCCATTTGATGCTACCCTCTGTGAGGCTAGGCTGAAGCTGCCATAACCTAAAGATGAAGCAGGGACGTAAGCAGAGAGGACAAAAGCCAGGAATCTTGTCTATGAGATCCCTTCGGGGAGGTAGATAAGAAGGAAGCAAAGGAAAAATGTGACCTGAACCAGACAAAAGAAGTTGGGGCTGAGCACATGGAAACCCCAACCCCAATCCCATCAACAGCTGCCAGACTTGTGAATCAACCAAGCAAGGACTTTTGGGGATTAAAGGGGTCCCAAAGCCTGCCCACTCTGAGTTGTCTTCTGAGTCATCTGAGCCATTTTTGGATCCAGAATTGGTGGCTTCCATCCCTCTAGCTAGTGCCTGGAAGCCTAGTTGGGAAGGACGTGGGCAAGTGTGGCTAAGCATGTGTGTGTGTGAGAGAAAGAGCAAATGTACCTTGCAACCAGTAAAGTTTTGCTGTTACTTTAAATTCACTGGGTCTCCATGTATTACAAAGAACCTCTTGTGCCTCAGTGTTCGGTTGGAAATGATTTGCATGTGTCCCTAATTATTTCCCCACTGTTGACCAGGGCTGTGTGTCTTGTCTGCTCTAGCCGCACCTATCTGGAAAACCCAGGTAGAAAGCAACAGGCTGTGAGTGTGTGAGTGAGTGACCATAAGCCGAACCTGGGAGCAGTGTGTGTGACACCTCCAAACTGGTGT